CTAGGTCGCGTTCTTCTCGCATACAGAGCCACGGTCCACACGTCAACGGGTGTTTCCCCGTTCAAGATGCTGACCGGTCGTGAAATGAGAGTGCCTTCGGACATCTTCGTGCCAAACACCGACGGATCAGCCGACAATGTTCCGGAGTATATACTACGCCTGAAAGAAAGTATAAGAAGAACTTTCAACACCTCACGCAAACATTTACGGTTGTCTTATACCAGGCAGAAGAAATATTATGACCGACATTGCCGGACGAACGTCTACCGAGAAGGCGACTTAGTGCAAATTTACAGACTGGTTACCCCACCTGGAACACACCGCAAGTTGCATCACCCCTGGAGCAGGGACCCATTTCAGGTGGTGAAGGCGCTCTCACCCACAAACTACCTCGTCCGCAACGCACAACTGCGTACCCAGCCGGTAACCGTTCATCACAACAAGGTGAGACCATATAAAGGGCCACCTCCGGTTGGTTACGAAGATGAGGTTTACGTCCTGACCGAGGACAGGAGACCGCCGGTTAGGAACCTCAATGGGAGCTCATAAGTGGTAGCACCGGGGACGGCGCTAAAAGGACGAGGGGACTATGTAGTACTTATGTTGTTTTAATGTGCCTTTCAGGAAGGAGGCAATCAGGAAATTCGAATTTCGTGACCGGATCGTCCTCTCCCTTACCTAGTGACTGCGGCTCCCCTCCTTCTTGAATATTGTATTTTTCCTATCCATCTTGTCACCTTTAATAGAGATGTCAAAAGTGAATCAACCGGGCTTGTCTAGGAACGCTAGGAATAGGGAAGCGGAGACCGAGGAGCCTCGCTCCACACTATCATTTACTAGTAGTAGGTATCACCATGAAGAGGTCTGGGTGACAAGACCTCTTCAGCTAGCATCCTTCTCAAGCGCAAAGTGAAGAGCTCCCAATTCATGCACTTCAGAGTGGATGTGAGTGTAGTGCGATTGCTCGGCCTATCTTCTACTGGGCACTGACGGTTAGCAAACATGGCGAGTGAAAGAATGCCACTTAAATGGTGTTGTGAATAGTAAAGTTGAGCAGAGAGCAGTGAAACAGATGGACCAGTGTTGGTGGCTGCACAATCATTACTTTTAGATCAGTAATTGGACAGTTTGGTAGCTAAGCGTTACAATCTTTGCATCTAAGTTGTGCTAAAGAGCAGGGTAGTGGGTATCGAAAAGAACGTCTCTATGGAACTATTTTTAACCTACAGGATAAATAATGCTGCTCAGGACATTGGTTTACTCTAAAGAAACAGTTAAAGAGACGTAAGTGTAATACGATAGTGGTTTATCCCTTGGCTCTGGTGAGGCGCCACTTTTGTACTTTGAATCAGCCCCCTTGTACCTCGTTGGGTGGGCTGGCCCTTTGGGCCATGCCAACAGTCCAGACACCTTCTCTGTGCTGATTACATATATTCTGCCCTAGTATTTTGTCTTCTTTCGTCTTCAAGGAGTCTTGGGACGCTACATAAGCTTAAACTCTTTGTAAGCGTCTTAATACGGATAGAAAAAGTAAATAAATGTGGATGTGGTAGTTATTGAAAGACTATCTTTACACCACAAAATATTTTTCTATCCTTTTTTAACCTGCAGTAATAGTCAAAATTTAGAAGGGAATTCGTGCGGATGAAACATGATGCATGTTTGTTTATATACGCTGATTGTAGGGATGCAAGTATATCGTGGCTGGCTCGTAGGTGACAGTAAGCTTCAATTTGTGGCCGATTAGGTCTCGCAGTGAAACCTTAAAACCGTAAGCTTTGCAAATGAAAACAATAAGGCGTCAGTCTTTAGTGGATTTTTCCGATCTGAGGACCTGGTACTGGAGGTGAAGGAAAAGATCAATGAAGGTGTTGGTATGACTGTCAAGTGGACTGAACTTCTTACATTCATAACCGGATTGAACTGTGAGGAGCTGTTGAAGCAGGTGAAATGCGTCCACTAGTTTTGAAGCGGTTATTGACTAACAGATGAGATCTCCTGTGCACATTCCTTGAATCCCTCTTCCATCGACTAGGAAGGTGGACATTTTTACGTAACGATTTCAAAACATCGTCCAACACTTCGGCTCAACTAAACATTTATGAAGATGATAAGGGGAATGAAGAATGGAATGCAATGAGTGCACAAGAAGTTGCAAGCCGCGGTTATTGTGGCCAACATCCAAGAATTTGGGAGTAGGCCGACGTGTGTGCCGACGAGAGAGAAGGTCGATCAGTCCTAGCACCCTTTCGCTGAGGTTGTCTGCGTAACGCTACAAACGTAGGTGAGTCCTTACTTTACCTCTCGTGCATCCCTTCATGCGATTCTCATTCGTTCTCCCAAACACCATGCATATTAGGAGGGAAAACATTCATGCCCTATGCTGTTGGACTGTGATGCGGCTAGATCAGTAGTCAGTCTTGGGCCTTCTGGTTCTCTTCACTGAAAGGATCAGACCTCTCCTCTCAGGAACAGCCTTCTGTCAGCAAAAGAAAAGACAAGAAGGCTGAGGTGGGTGTGGTGACGACATTGCCTGTCACCATCGACAAGGAAAGCGGACTAGTTGGCTCTGTTGGGTAAAGGGAAATGGCCAGAGACAATGCTCTGTGCCAATTTTTTGCGTAGCACTGAGTCGGTTCCGGATATTGCAAATGACACCTTGTCTACGTTACGGTACCTATTCCGTCATCGAATATGGGTGAAAATGATGCAAACACTGTGCTATTGTGAACCGAGTTGATTCGTATGGCCAACTCATGACGGTCTTTGCTTAGAGTGGGCTTACCATGGATCTTACTGAGTGCTTTGGTAAGCAGATAGAGCAGAAGTATTTGGTTGTGGATTGACCGTGGAAAGCCTATCTGAGGAACAAAGAAAGCTGGCTTTTGTGTGTATCTGTACCAAATAAATGGGTGGTTGGATTCCCTGTGCGGGTTATGGTGGTTCTCCCTACTGGATATGAAACCGAAATGTTGGTAAGTCGAGATGGCAGTAATAAAGAGAGGCAAGACGTGTTTGGTATTAACAAAGGGGTTTTGGGAATTTTGGACGATGTACAATGTGCCTCGACGCACACTCGTTATCGGTAGAGATGTAGGGGTGGAGGGTAAGGCATGGGGACAATAAGAGTGTAGTGTCAGACCGAGCAGACGACCGGAGTTTCATATTGGAACCCAAGAAATGTCGGTTCGTGCAATGCCAAGTCAGTGAATGACGTACTAGGCGTACTGTCTGGTCAGACGGGATCAGTGTTAGGAATGGTTGCATCAGGCAAGTTAGGAGATGGACGGCATCGACAACTTAGGTTAAGGAGTAAAGCACCTAGTGAACCTATATGAAGGTGTTTCGTCACTCGCAGTGAATCACAAGTTTCATCACTCACCCCCCAACCCTCCACACCACTTAAGAAGTGTCTTCACTTAAGGCAACTAACCAGGTAGGTGTGATGGCTAAATGCGGTCTTCTTAGCGTGGCCGCTCCTGTTTTGACCACTAATATTTCCACATAGGTTCAGTGCCACTTGCATTGTGCAAATGGGACTTTAATTAGGCAGACTACGTTAACGCGAGAAATTCTGGCATTTCGCTCGTGATACATGTAGGCTGCAAAGTTCATCCGGTCTGTCAGTATGATCAAATTCACTAACTTTCCTATGGGCGATTTCACATTCGTATGCATAATTCCTTCATTTTATTGTTTATTTTCCTATTTGTCAGAACTAATGACGATTGGAAACTGCGCCCTTGCATCCCTTTGTATGTCGTAATGACTGCCTCCTCAGTTGGTCATTCAATAAATGTAAATGCTGCATCCAAAACTTTTGCGTCTTCTTTCTCCCGATTAAAAGGCCAGGAGGGAAGAAA